ACCTCTGGAGATGGAGAATGCACCACGCCTGCTTGTAACTTTATTGTCATTTGTCAGAGTATAATCTCTTGATCAGGGGCAGACTGACAACTCATGGGGCCCCCAGGCAATAGGGGATCATGAGGCCCCTGTGTCCTTGCCCACACTCAAAGCACACCCAAAAAAGCCTATAAAAAAGGTACCAGGAGCATTTCATGGGGCCCCCTACTGACCCTGGGCCCTGACTCGGGCAGTACCGGAATGAGCGAAGGGTCAGTCCGCCCCTGCTCTTGATTAGAGATTAGGTTAGCATTCTCAATCAGGGTTCTGTGGGACTCTAGGGGTCCTCCAGAGGGTGCTAAGTGTTCCTTGATTTGATTGACTGACCTCCCATTTGATGGTGCCTACATAGTTCTTGGGCCTCTCTTGGCAAAGTCATCTGCAGGGCACCAATAATCTTTTTAGTTGTCTGTAAGGGGGGCATTCTGACCACCACTGTAAGGGGGGCATTCTGACCACCTCTGTAAGAGGGACATTCTGGCCACCACTCTATGGGGGACATTCTGACCACCTCTGTAAGAGGCACATTCTGGCCACCACTGTAAGGGGGCATTCTGGCCACCACTGTAAGGGGGGCATTCTGACCACCTCTGTAAGAGGGACATTCTGGCCACCACTCTATGGGGGACATTCTGGCCACCACTGTAAGGGGGGCATTCTGACCACCTCTGTAAGAGGGACATTCTGGCCACCACTCTATGGGGGACATTCTGGCCACCACTGTAAGGGGGGCATTCTGACCACCACTGTAAGGGGGGCATTCTGACCACCACTGTAAGGGGGACATTCTGACCACCACTGTAAGGGGGACATTCTGGCCACCACTGTAAGGGGGGCATTCTGACCACCACTGTAAGGAGGACATTCTGACCACCACTGTAAGGGGGACATTCTGACCACCACTGTAAGGGGGGCATTCTGACCACCACTGTAAGGAGGACATTCTGACCACCACTGTAAGGGGGACATTCTGACCACCACTGTAAGGAGGACATTCTGGCCACCACTGTAAGGAGGACATTCTGGCTACCACTGTAAGGAGGACATTCTGGCCAACACTGTAAAGGGGGCATTCTGGCCACCACTGTAAGGGGACATTCTGGCTACCACTGTAAGGAGGACATTCTGGCCAACACTGTAAAGGGGGCATTCTGGCCACCACTGTAAGGAGGACATTCTGGCCCCCACTGTAAGGAGGACATTCTGACCACCACTGTAAGGGGGGCATTCTGGCCACCACTGTAAGGGAGGCATTCTGGCCACCACTGTAAGGGGGGCATTCTGGCCACCACTGTAAGGGGGGCATTCTGACCACCACTGTAAGGGGGGCATTCTGACCACCACTGTAAGGGAGGCATTCTGACCACCACTGTAAGGGGGGCATTCTGACCACCACTGTAAGGGAATATTCTGACCACAACTGTAAGGGGGGCATTCCGACAACCACTGTAAGGGGGGGGGGGGGGGGGGGGGCATTCTTTCCACTGGCCACCAATGTAAAGCGCATGTTTCCCTCTGAATCCCAATGAGTTGGTTTCATCAGGGTTTCTCTGAGACCTAAAAAGATATTTCAAAGATTCGTCTAGAATAGAAACATTGAGGAACGCTGGATTAGGCACATACTGTACATGAATAGACAGACATACCCCCCCCCCCCCCCCCACGTGCAGCAGACTAAGAGCACCTGATCCACACACTTTGTATTGGATATGAATTTGGTGAAACAGATTTCTAACATTATTCCATCTATGTGTCAATGTGTATCTCTGGTGCTCCAGTGCAATGTTGTACCTCCTGCAGCAAAGGGGTGGATTCACTCTGCCGCATGCGGTACAAACAGACTGCACTCTGCAAGAGCTTCCTAATGAGGTGCAGCTTCACTGTGCAAACAATACCCAATCATGTTCAGGGAAAATAAAAAAAAAAACAGCACTTTTGCTTGCACATGATTGGATGATGGAAGTCAGTGCACCGTCTATTTGCCTTTAGTGAACCAACTCTAAAGTCTTTCAGCTCAGGATCCTGTCATCAGGAGTACATGAGGAACACGGACATGGCTGGGGGGGAGAAAGGGGCACTTACCTCTGACACACCTACAGTTGCAAGAAAAAGTATGTGACCCCCTTGGGATTCCGTGGAGTTTTGCATGAATTGGGCATAAAATGTGCTCTGAACGTCATCTAAGTCACAACAATAGAAGAACACAGTCTGCTGAACATAATACTACACAAACATTACATGTTGCCATGGTTTAATTGCACATAACATGTAAACATTCACAGCGCAGGGAGGAAAAAGTATGTGAACCTTTGGACTTAATAACTGGTTGACCCTCCTTTGGCAGCAATAACCTCAACCAAACGTTTCCTGTAGTTGCAGATCAGACCTGCACAACGATCTGGAGTCATTTTGGACCACTCCTCTTCACAAAACTGTTTCAGTGTAGCAATATTCTTGGGATGTCTGGTGTGAATCGCTCTCTTAAGGTCATGCCACAGCATTTCAATCGGGTTGAGGTCAGGACTCTGACTGGGCAACTCCAGAAGGCGTATTCTGTGCTGTTGCAGCCATTGTTCTGTTGAATTACTTGTATGCTTTGGGTCATTGTCCTGTTGCATCACCCATCCTCTGCGGAGCTTCAGTTGGCGGACAGATGGTCGTACGTTTTCCTGCAAAATATCTTGATAAACTCTGGAATTCATTTTCCCATCAGTGACAACAATCCGTCCAGGCCCTGAGGCAGCAAAGCAGCCCCAAACCATGATGCTCCCTCCGCCATGTTTCACAGTGGGGATGAGGTTTTGATGTTGGTGTGCTGGGCCTTTTTTTCTCCACACATAGTGTTGTGTGTTCTTCCCAAACAACTCAATCTTGGTTTCATCTGTCCACAGTATATTCTGCCAGTAGTGCTGTGGAACATCCAGGTGCTCTTTTGCAAACTTTAAATGTGCTGCAATATTCTTTTTGGACAGCAATGGCTTCCTCCGTGGTGTCCTCCCATGTACTCCATTCTTGTTTCATGTTTTCCTGATTGTAGATGTGTCAACAAAAATGTTAGCATGTGCCAGAGATTTCTGTAGGTCTTTAGCTGACACTCTGGGATTCTTCTTTACCTCATGCAGCATTCTGCGCTGTGCTCTTGCAGTCATTTTTACAGGACGACCACGCCTAGGGAGAGTAGCAACAGTGCTAAACTTTCTCCATTTGTAGGACAGCTGTCAGCAACACATCCAATATCATCACACTGATTGGAGACAAGGTTGGCTCACTCCTGGCTCCAATTAGCTCTGGGAGAAGTCATTAAGCTAGGGACTCACATACTTTTTCCTCCCTGCACTGTGAATGTTTACATGTTATGTGCAATTAAACCATGGCAACATCTAATGTTTGTGTAGTATTATGTTCAGCAGACTGTCTTCTTCTATTGTTGTGACTTAGATGACGTTCAGAGCACATTTTATGCCCAATTCATGCAAAACTCCACATAATCCCAAGGGGTTCACATACTTTTTCTTGCAACTGTACCTGCTCGCATCCAGGGCCAGCGCTACACTATTTATACCCTAGGCAAAACCAGCTACTTGAATTCCCTCGCCCCCCCAAAATGGTGCTTTACTGGCACCTAGGAAGGGTGCATGGGCTCATGAATGCGCGCATTCGCTTGCGCATTGGTGTGTGCATCTCCACGCATCTTCAGCCCACATTGGCACCAAGAGAGGTATTTAAACTGAACCTTCTACTCTGTATCTGTCTTCAGTTACTGACCTGGGTTGCCTTGACCACTCCACCTGCTCTGATCCCGACTTTCCTTGACCACTCCACCTTCACTGATCCCGGCTTGCCTTGACCACTCCACCTGCACTGATCCCGACTTGCCTTGACCACTCCACCTGCACTGATCCCGGCTTGCCTTGACCACTCCACCTGCACTGATCCCGACTTGCCTTGACCTCTCCACCTGCTCTGATCCTGGCTTGCCTTGACCAGTCCACCTGCACTGATCCCGACTTTCCTTGACCACTCCACCTTCACTGATCCCGACTTGCCTTGAACACTCCACCTGCACTGACCCCGGCTTGCCTTGACCACTCCACCTGCACTGATCCCGGCTTGCCTTGACCACTCCACCTGCACTGATCCCGACTTGCCTTGACCACTCCACCTGCACTGATCCCGGCTTGCCTTGACCACTCCACCTGCACTGATCCCGGCTTGGCTTGACCACACTACCCACCTGCACTGATCCCGACTTGCCTTGACCTCTCCACCTGCACTGATCCCGGCTTGCCTTGACCACTCCACCTGCACTGATCCCGGCTTGCCTTGACCACTCCACCTGCACTGATCCCGACTTGCCTTGACCACTCCACTTGCACTGACCCCGGCTTGCCCTGACCTCTCCACCTGCACTGACCCCAGCTTGCCTTGACCACTCCCACCTGCCTGCTATCCACTGGTGTCTGCTCCTTACCTACCTGCTACCAGTCTGATGTTTGCCTCTCTGCTGTCACCAGTGTCATCCCGTTCCTGCCTATTGCTCACCGGTTGCTACCTGACACCACCGATGACCATCCTTTACTTTGCCCGGATATTCTGTCCAGCCCTGATGCTAGCAAGACCAACAAGCACTCTACTCCTGTGCCACCTGACCACTCTACCAAGGGCCCCGAGTCAGTGGTGTAAGTGAGGCCTTCCTCGTCATTTCAGGATCTTCTACCAGGTATGTGACGTATATTGTTAGTATATTTACATTATAAAAATATTAGGTAAAATTATTAGACATCTTCATGACGAAACGCGTCGGGTGGTGCCACGGTGCATGACGTTATCATGTTACAGATCGTGGCCATCTTGCTGGTTGGAAACATTATTTGATATCTTTTATGCTGAATATACTCTGATGTTTGTAATTGCAATTTCTTTTATTAAATTTAGATTTTTATAAAGTACTACACCATGAACTGGTTTTGCTTTCCTCTACATATATACACTATATTGCCAGAAGTATTTGCCCCGCCCTCCAAATCATGTGATTCAGGTATTCCAATCCCCTCCATATCATGTGATTCCAGTGTTCCAATCCCCTCCATATCATGTGATTCAGGTGCTCCAATCCCCTCCCAATCATGTGATTCAGGTGTTCCAATCCCCTCCATGACCACAGGTGTATACAATCAAGCCCCTAGGCATGCAGACTGCTTCTACAAACATTGGTGAAAGAATGGGTCGCTCTCAGGAGCTCAGTGACTCCAAGCGTGGTCCCGTGATAGGTGGCCACCTGGGCAATAAGTCCATCCGTGACATTTCCTGGCTACTAAATATTCCACGCTCAACTGTTAGTGGGATTATAACAAAGTGGAAGCAACTGGGAACAACAGCCACTCAGCCACCAAGTGGTAGGCCACGTCACATGACAGGGCGGGGTCAGCGCATGCTGAAGCGCACAGTGCGCAGAAGTCACCAACTGTCTGCAGAGTCAATAGCTAAAGACCTCCAAACTTGGTGTGGCCTTCAGATGAGCCCAACAACAGTGTGTAGAGAGCTTCATGGAATGGGTTTCCATGGCCGAGCAGCTGCATCCAAGCCTTCCATCACCAAGTGCAATGCAAAGCGTCGGATGCCGTGGTGTAAAGCACGCCGCCACTGGACTCTACAGCAGTGGAGACGTGTTCTCTGGAGTGACCAATCACGCTTCTCTGTCTGGCGTGTCTGGGTTTGGCGGCTGCCAGGAGGTAACGGTACTTGCCTGACTGCATTGTGCCAAGTGTAAAGTTTGGTGGAGGGGGGATTATGGTGTGGGGTTGTTTTTCAGGGGTTGGGCTTGGCCCCCTAGTTCCAGTGAAGGGAACTCTTAAAGGCGACATTTTGGACAATTTCATGCCCCCAACTTTGTGGGAGGAGTTTGGGGATGGCCCCTTCCTGTTCCAACATGACTGCCCACCAGTTCACAAAAGCAAGGTCCATAAAGACATGGAGGAGCCAGTTTGGGGTGGAGGAACTTGACTGTCCTGCACAGAGTCCTGACCTCAACCCCATAGAACACCTTTGGGATGAATTAGAGCGGAGACTGCGAGCCAGGCCTCCTCCCCCGACATCAGTGCCTGACCCAGCAATGGGCAAACTACGGCCCGCGGGCCGTATACGGCCCGGCGGACCTTTTAATCCGGCCCGCGGAGCTAGGCTCCCACTAGGCTCCCCTCACAGTCCGCCCTGAAGACCGGTGTAGCATGAAAATCTGTCTCCTATGAGGATCTGTCCCCCTCGACGTATCTGCGCATGTGCCGGAGATCGCCGATCGGCTGCTAATGCCTGAAACTGGCACATGCGCAGATACGTCGAGGGGGACAGATCCTCATAGGAGACATATTTTCATGCTACACCGGAACGGCGCGGGAACACGGCGAGAGGAACGCGCGGAGCAAAGGTAAGTGAATTGACACAGGGGGGGACTTGGGGACTTAATATGGGGGATAATTTAATATGGGGAATGAATTACTATATGGGGGATGAATTACTATATGGGGGATGAATTACTATATGGGGGATGAATTACTATGGGGGATGAATTACTATATGGGGGATGAATTACTATATGGGGATGAATTACTATAGGGGGATGAATTACTATGGGGGATGAATTACTATATGGGGGATGAATTACTATAGGGGGGATGAATTACTATATGGGGAATGAATTACTATATGGGGGATGAATTACTATGGGGGGGGGGATGAATTACTATGGGGGGGGGGATGAATTACTATGGGGGGATGAATTACTATATGGGGGGGATGTTACTATGGGGGATGAATTACTATGGGGGATGAATTACTATATGGGGGATGAATTACTATATGGGGGATGAATTACTATGGGGGATGAATTACTATATGGGGGATGAATTACTATATGGGGGATGAATTACTATATGGGGGATGAATTACTATAGGGGGGATGAATTACTATGGGGGATGAATTACTATATGGGGGATGAATTACTATAGGGGGGATGAATTACTATATGGGGAATGAATTACTATATGGGGGATGAATTACTATGGGGGGGGGGATGAATTACTATGGGGGGGGGGATGAATTACTATGGGGGATGAATTACTATATGGGGGATGAGTTACTATGGGGGATGAATTACTATGGGGGGGGATGAATTACTATATGGGGGATGAGTTACTATATGGGGATGAATTACTATGGGGGGGGGGGATGAATTACTATGGGGGATGAATTACTATATGGGGGATGAATTACTATATGGGGGATGAATTACTATGGGGGGGGATGAATTACTATATGGGGGATGAGTTACTATGGGGGATGAATTACTATGGGGGGGGATGAATTACTATGGGGGATGAATTACTATAGGGGGATGAATTACTATGGGGGATGAATTACTATATGGGGGATGTATTACTATGGGGGATGAATTACTATGGGGGATGAATTACTATATGGGGGATGAATTACTATGGGGGATGGGGGGTGAATTACTATATGGGGGATGAATTACTATATGGGGGGGATGAATGAATTACTATGGGGGATGAATTACTATAGGGGGGATGAATTACTATGGGGGGATGAATTACTATATGGGGGATGAATTACTATAGGGGGGATGAATTACTATAGGGGGGATGAATTACTATATGGGGGATGAATTACTATAGGGGGGATGAATTACTATATGGGGGATGAATTACTATAGGGGGATGAATTACTATATGGGGGATGAATTACTATAGGGGGGATGAATTACTATAGGGGGATGAATTACTATAGGGTATGAATTACTATATGGGGGATGAATTACTATGGGGGATGAATTACTATGGGGGGGGATGAATTACTATATGGGGGAGTTACTATGGGGGATGATGATTACTATGGGGGGGATGAATTACTATGGGGGATGAATTACTATAGGGGGGATGAATTACTATGGGGATGAATTACTATATGGGGGATGTATTACTATGGGGGATGAATTACTATGGGGGATGAATTACTATATGGGGGATGAATTACTATGGGGGATGAATTACTATGGGGGTTGAATTACTATATGGGGGATGAATTACTATAGGGGGGATGAATTACTATGGGGGATGAATTACTATAGGGGGGATGAATTACTATAGGGGGGATGAATTACTATATGGGGGATGAATTACTATAGGGGGGATGAATTACTATAGGGGGGAATTATGAATTACTATATGGGGGATGAATTACTATAGGGGGGATGAATTACTATATGGGGGATGAATTACTATAGGGGGGATGAATTACTATATGGGGGATGAATTACTATAGGGGGGATGAATTACTATAGGGGATGAATTACTATAGGGTGGATGAATTACTATATGGGGGATGAATTACTATGGGGGATGAATTACTATATGGGGGATGAATTACTATGGGGGATGAATTACTATATGGGAGATGAATTACTATGGGGGATGAATTACTATGGGGGATGAATTACTATATGGGGGATTAATTACTATGCTTACTATGGGGGAATATTACTATACTTACTATGGATGACACATACACATAATTTATCTACTCTTGGTCCGGCCCCCGGGTCCAATATATGAACCCATTGCGGCCCTCAAGTCAAAAAGTTTGCCCACCCCTGGCCTGACCTGACAAATGTGCTTCTGGAAGAATGGTCCAACCTTCCCATAGACACCCTCCTAAACCTTGTGGACGGCCTTCCCAGAAGAGTGGAAGCTGTTATAGCTGCAAAGGGCGGGGCCAACTCAATATTGGACCCTACGAACTAAGACTGGGGGGCCATTAAAAGTCATGTGCGTGGAAAGGGCGGGGCCAACTCAATATTGAACCCCTATGGACTAAGACTAGGGGGCCATTAAAGGTCATGTGTGCAGGAAGGGCGGGGCCAACTCAATATTGAACCCTACAGACTAAGACTGAGGAGCCATTAAAGGTCATGTGCATGGAAAGGGTGGGGCCAACTCAATATTGAACCCTACAGCTAAGACTAGGGGGCCATTAAAGGTCATGTGTGCAGGAAGGGCGGGGCCAACTCAATATTGAACCCTACAGACTAAGACTGAGGAGCCATTAAAGGTCATGTGCATGGAAAGGGTGGGGCCAACTCAATATTGAACCCTACAGACTAAGACTGGGGGGCCATAAAGGTCATGTGTGTGGAAAGGCCGGCTGACCAATACTTGGGGCAATATAGTGTATATATATATATATCAGGGAGCCGCCCTTGTGGCTTAATACTACATCTCTGCCTTGGAATAAGTTGCTGTGGAAAGGAGATCGGTGAAGAGATTCGTTGGGTTCCTCAGCCACCAGTGGATGCGATACGCATTTTCTGACCTCTTGATTTGTGGTCGATGCTTCAGGTAAGAGGCCGTGTATGTTGATCGATGGAACTTTCGCCTCTTCTGGCACGTTTGTGTGACCTCCAGCTGCTCCGTAGGAACTTATTCCACTTCCTAATATTTTCCTTTATATTTTGAGGTTTGATTGTTATTTTATTTGCTGATCGATTATCTTTTTACTATACTGAATATTCGGTAACTAGCGCTGCATCTCGTCGTATATTACCGATCGTTTGTTGCCAACTTGCTCCCTAGCTGCTTTTTCCCGATTGCGGGGCCCTCAGCGCAGGGGATCACTGGTTGTTTTAGTATTTTTTATATTTATCCGAATTAAAAAAATATATTTTTTTGGAAGCTGAACATTATAAATTGAGTAAATCGATCTGTACAGGACCGCTATGCAGCCCCTTCGTAGATGAAGACTGGCCAGCTGAACGTTCCTTCAGGGTCTTGTTGGGATTGTACAATGGAAACTGGCGGCACTCACCTGACGAAGAGGGAATCAGGAATCCTGCGCAGAGGAAGCCCAGAATCTGGAAAACAAATCAGATCGATTGTGTGTATCACAGAGTCTGGATAAATATCCTAACGAGCGAACTGTCGAGAGTCGCCAAGATGGCCGAACTCTGCGGAGGGCTGAAACTGTATCATGTCAGAAGCCAGGACTTCTCCTCCACAATATTGTGACTTGCACCTATGCTATCACACAGGTACGGGGCTGCTGATAGAAACCACGGGGCCCCATACAGCCAACCTGACAGGCCTCCCCCCCCAAAAAAAAGCAAAAGAAAACACAGTTTACTTAGTTTCAATTATAAATGAACACAATGAGTGATCGTTACCGATCACTCATTGTGTTCATTCAGGAAAGGAAGTTGCTGGTCCGTTCCCCCACTCTCCATCCTGGAGGATCCTGTTGTGTGCTGGCAGCTGCTGGTTGGAAGGAAAGGAGGGAAGCGGACAGCACTGCGGGGTTGGGGTTGGGGGGGGCATACAGGGGGGCACACAGGGGGGCCTGGATGTCAGGGGAAATGCATGGTGCTTCAGTCTCTCACCATGTGGCTTGCTACATACTTACAATCAGGCCCGGATCTAGGAGGATGCTGGGGTGAGCTGTGCACCCCCAGATTTTTGAGAGTGCATCCGCTAATCCACAAGACTAGATGGGGGCAATGA